TAAATAAGCAGATTATGGAATTACTATGTATCTAAGGAAAGGTATTTCTAGCTGAGTGTTGTTGAAAGAAAAAAAGAGAACATTAAAAGTCACTACTAACAGGGCAGAGAACAAGCAGATAACACTATTATGCTATGGTATAGATCCATGCTGTACCTCAATACTTAGAGCACTGTGTTTGTCTCCACCTTTCAAAAAGAATACACAGAACTAGAAGAGGAAAGGAGGTTTACAGTGACTTTCCACCAGTTATCAGGAAAGCTTAAAGAGACCAGTATTCTTCTACCTGAAGATGGTTAAAATGTAAAAGTGCTGGCAACAGAGAAACAGCAAAAGACTTACTAAAAACCAACCAACCAACCAAAACCCCAAACAAACAAAAACACTCACAAACTGCCTAAAAATGGGAAGCTAGACCATCTGCAGTTTCTCATGTGCAAGAACCAGAGATATTAAATTAAATCACTGGGTAAAAGGTTTAAAACAGATAAAGCAAATTCTCATGAAATGTACAGTTAAATTATGTAAATCGCTGCTTCAAGAACATCGTGGAAAGTTAAAGGTTAGGTTCAGAAGAAATTAAACAAATTGAGAGAGGTAATCCATTAAGAACTGGAAAAAAAAAACAACAACAAAACCAACCAAGCATTACTTCTGGTTCAGAAAGCTAGAAATAAGCAAGTTATTTTTCTGTGTGCTTGCCCTGTCCTTATGCCCTCCCCTTCAGCATTTGACACAGGCCTCTAACAGAGCAAGCGCACTGGCACAGGCTTCAAGGGGTGCCTACAGACGTTCATACATTCTTGTGTTTAAAATACACAAGGCAACAATTGCTGAAGTTTAATTATTAAAGAAAAACTGAAACACAATAGAATCTGACCAGATTTTGTGGTAAGCACATACGGTTGGGATTCAGACACTCTGGACTCCATTCTCTCTCAGGTCAGTGTAGTGAAGCAAAAAAACCACCAACCCAATTGTCGGTGAAGTTTCAATAATACTTCTGAAAGGGCATTCACAGTTCCACATTAATGTTTTAGAAACTCAGTTAAGATCTACAAATAGGAAATACTAAGTAAATGCACAGTACGGTATGTAAGATTATAGCATACCTCATTCTGGTAAGTATGAACTTGACAAAAATACAGATAACCCTGTCTGAATGCCAAGAGCACTGAAAAGGAACAAAACCCATTCTTTAAAAAAGCAGTATGTAATTGAGCTTGATTACATGTACTATGGGGACTTCTTTAGAGTGAGATCCAGAAGTCTGGAAATGTACTACTTAAAAAGACTAAGAGACTTTAAGAACAAGGTCTTAATTGAAAGATTAACTGAACTGTATAACAGCAAAGAACATAAAGACTACAGCAAGCTATAAATTGAGAACTGAACCTCCTTCAAGTCTTTGTGCTCAGCTGAAACTCAAAAATGTTTCAGTGAAAGTTTCTGCTGAGTATGAGGTGGCAAAAATAAAGTGAAGTGAAAAGCAGCAAAGAGAGAAGCTGAAAGTGCTTCAGTGCATTAGCTTACAATACATTCTAAAACATCAACAGCATACTTACTGTAAGTCACCACTCAACCAAATAATGTTTTAAATTCTTACATAAGGTGGACTTTACACAGCTTGTATGTTGCATTGCTTACTTGTACTTTTTCCATACCAAACACAAAACACTAACACTTTTATTAAACTCACAATTTTAAACCATAGAAGTTTCAGGTAAATTTAGAATTAATACCCTAGTTACTTGAACTTTTTTACAGCAAACAACATCCTTGGGAGATGTATGAACTCTAACATGAACAGCCTGTTTCTTGGTGAACTGGTGTAAATTTACTGAAGTGTATTTGGCTTTTTTGTTTTGTTTTGCTTTAGACATCTGAAGAATATTGTTTAACAGTCTTTTTAAAGCTTATTTATTTAGTGCTTTAATCTCTCTAACAAGCAAACAAAAAAGCAGTTATCTTCAATCCAGTACAAAGGTTGATCCACAAACCCATTTCCAGTATACCCACAACCTAGCGGTCACAAAAGATATACAGGCAATGTATGAACCTGAAAAGTTACTGCAGTGTTACAACAGAGTCAAATTAGTAGTCTGTAAACTTGCATCCCATCCTGAACACTTTAAAGTTCCTGAATTAAAGAAAACATATTTTTACTATTCAAAATGTAACTGTGGACTCTAATCTGCTTTGATTAGATTTCCAAGTAGCTGTGGAATGAAGTCAGATTGCAAAGGAACATTCAAGACAACGAAAAGCCTGGAAAAAAGTTGGCAGACTTTATACGCTTTAAAGAACACGGTGTTTACAGTGAAATTACTGATTTCTCGACAGAAAGCATATTACTACCTACAAAAAACCTTTAAAAAAAGCTTTCCTGTATCTAAAGATGAATGCTAATATGCTATAAGAGCAGGTACTTTTCCCTTTTAAAAACAACTCTACTTCAGTGAAATTCACAGCAAGAGGAATCTTCATGCTTTCAGGGATCGGCTAGACTGGTGCATGACAAAGCCAGTGTGTTTTGCCATAATGCAAGACTGATTATAAAGTACCTGCAAATAACATCAGCGTATGTGTTAATCAAACATCTAATTTTCTATATTGGACATAAATGGGACTGGCTTCAGCCAAAGCACTATATTATGAATGCTGATGATCTGAGGTAAGGTTGGACAGGGCCTTGAAGAACCTGATCTAGCAGAAGGCCCCTGCACATGTCAAGGGGGGGTTGGAACTGGATAATCTTTAATGCCCCTTCCAACCTAAACCATTCTGTGATTGTAAGAGGTCTCAAATCTTCCATATCCTCTAAGGTATACAATTCTCTTATATAATAAGCAGTAGAGAGGTACTGTGGGCCAGAAAATAAACACATCACTGTGCTTTACACATCATTCTTGACAAATGACTAATCAAACACATTAAAGGTTTATTTAACTTAACCAAACCCAAGAAGCAGATGTTTCACCACACTTCCAGCTTATTTACATTGTCCTGAAATTTGCTATTTCACTATTAGTAAAGGGAAAACTTGCCACGCATTTTGTCCTAAGTTAAAAAAAAAAAAAAAAAATCAGGAAAAAACAAGGTGCCTCTCAAAGAGTACATGAAAGCTGTGCCCTTAAACGGGAAACTCGTAAAAGAAATCCCAGCAAATTTAACATGATTATTCGAGCAGACTGTAAAAACTTAATTAACAAGCTACCATAAACGTGTGGCAAAATTAACCGTTTGTCACTGCGGCCGCGACAAACTCATCTGAACACAGAACACCTGAAAATGGGAGGATACCACCACCGCTCTCCTAACGGATGTAGGATTTCTCTCTATCCTGCCTAGTGGCATTGCTTCATTCCAGGTCTCCCGCAGCACTCCGGCACGGCGGACGCACGCCGCCCTAGCGCGGATGCAGCGCTCGCCGCCCGCACTCGCGGATGCGCTTCCGGGGCACCGACGCCCAGAGCCCGGCTCTGCCAACACCCCAGCTCGCCCGGAATGGCCGCCCAGCGCCCGGGCTGCCCGCTCCCTCCGCAGCCGCCATCACCCGGAGAGGGGCTCAGCAGCGCTCAGGTTCCCCGCATTTGTTTCCCAACCACCGCAGCTCTCCCCCGTCCGCCGCTGCCGCACAAGCGCCAGCCGCGGGGACTGTCTGCCCGCCGCGCCCTGCCCTGCAGCTTCTGTGCTTTACAGCGGCGAGTTCGCTGGGCGGCCGGGACACCTTACCGCTCATTTCGGGCCGTACCGGGCCGGGCCCGCCTGGCGGGTGCTCCCCGGCGCGCCGCGGCAGGCGGGGCGGCGGCAGCGGGCGGGGCGGCTCCCTCAGGTGCGCGGCTGCCCGCTCAGCTCCGCCCCACCCCGCCCCAAGGCCCGCTCCGCTCCGCCCTGCCGGGCCGCGGCCAGGCCCCGCGCCAGCCGGGAGGCGGCACAAGCGGAACGCGGCCTGGGCTGACAGGGGCTGGGGGGCGGGTGCCCGGGAGGGATTCCTCAGCCATGCCGCAGGCCTCCTGGCTCTGGTCTTTGCTGTACGCTGACCATTGTCATTGGCTGGCGTGGCCCAAATCCTCCAGGTTTTTACGTTAATTAGCATAACTAAATTCTAAAGGATTACTTCAGCCCAATCCTTCTATAGGATTTACCTTCAGCTGAACTGCTAATCAGTTTATGCCCAAGAAAGGAGGCACACCAACAGACCTGGTTCCAAACCCTTTCTGACATCCCGTTTAGAAAGCTGCAATGACTTTGATACTAATTTATGTGGATACTGCAGCTCATGAGCACTGCTATACTTAGCATTAGTCTAATGTGAATGGCGATGAATCACTGTTATCCCCAGGAGGAAACAGCATTCAAGATTTACTGCAGCACATTAGGTTAACTATGGCTCTATATCCGTACACCCACACTTTGACATCACACAGGCAATGATATGCATCACTGACGCAAGCACTGACAGGGTCAAACACAAAGGCCACAGCAGTTGAAACAACAGAGCGCACAGCTGACGTAGCAGCACACCACTCCAACACTGATGGGCTGCAGTAAATCAATAGCCCCTGATCCCACAAACAGTTGCACCACTCTGTCTTTTACATAATGGCCAAGACTTCAAAAGTTTTATTTTGGGCTACAATTAATTACAAAAACCAATAATAACCAACACCACCAATTGGTCTACATTTGTCTTGCAAGCCGTGCCTGGAAAATACTACCAAATTAGTATTTCAGGGTTAACAGGCACTAAAAAATTATCACAAAGCATCAGCAGTTTCACATTTACTAGGTGCAATGTAATCAAAACAAGCAGTAACAAAAAAGAAAATCAGACACAGAACTTACTGTTAGGCCTGAGCTGGGTAAGAGGCACAAGAAAAGAACTGTGAACACTGCAAGGACACGGGCAATCAGAAGACTTCAGTTTGCAATGCTGTCCATTTAACATATTCCTTATGCTTCAAATTCATCCTGACAAAACAATCCCTTCCCCCATCCATCTGTCTACTTTTGCCATCGAGCCTGGGGAACAGCAGCTGACAAAGCTGCAACATCATTTTAAATATATTAATTGGCTAGAAAAAATAATCTATCAGTAGACTGCTGGCTGGTGAGCACAAGGCAAAACTGAAGGTAAAACATTCACATAGTTCCATTCAACAGCAGAGGGGAAAAGCATCAGTTTCATTCACAGAGACTTTGGAACAATGGATAAAAGGATGGGGGGGGAGGGAAGCTATGAAACTTAACTTCTAAAGATTACGTCCTAACGAGATCCTGATCGTTCCCATGAAACCATACATACATATTCAGGAAAAAAAAAAAAAAGGATGTGAAATCCCTTCTCACAGGCAAAGTGCAGAGATGACAGGTTCCTGTAGCATTTTATCATTAATACAGCTATCAGATTTCTTTTATAATGGCCTCGTGTACTTTCAAAGGAAAAAGGTGACAATGGTTTCAATGCTTAGATATTAAATGTGCTTTCATGTCACCTGGTTCTAAACAATGACCATGGTGCAGTTTTGTGATGAAAATAGACTGCAAGCCCATGCCTTTGAACAATGCAAACTTCATGAAGTTACACTTGGGAGGTTGCAGAAGGATAATTTCAGTCTTTTGAGGTACTACAACAATAAGAAGTTTTTACACATTCTGTCTGAAGCAATTGTGTGGCCCGATGATAACTCTATCCTACTTCAATAAAAAAAACCAATGAATCAAAGATGTTAATGCAGAAATACAATATGGACTTTGTACTGCGCAGCCTAGATTGTTAAATTGCTTCATTTCATTTGCTGGTTTAGGTTTAGACTCTGGGTAATTATTTAGGAAATATGTGGAAGAGTTATGTCAAAAAATTGTTCTCACTTCCTTGTAGTCTTCCAATTTAAAAATCAGGTGAACCATACATCACTGCATTTCAAAGTGAGTCAAATGTGATATACTATTATTAACAGAGAGAAGCACTGATGAAAATGTGTTTATTCTTTGCAGGAAAAATAAGCTGCACTCGTTCTAATCTAACCGCATCCCATATTTGCTCAGCCTTTTCCTCAAGGAGAGCCTCATTTCCTGGCACTTACAGTGAGCAGTACTGATCCGTAACTTTTTCAGACTAATATTTAATAGTTGTGCATACTGCTTAATCATGTTCCATTTGATTCACAATATTCAGGATAAACTACAGTTTAGTCATCTAACAGTTGCTACCACTAGAATTTGTGGTTTTCTAATCAGATTTTATTTTTGCCATATAGCACTGCAGAGTCTAAACTAAATACCACACAAATCTTTCTTTAAGGAGACCAATTTGGAAATGGTCATTCCTAACCGGAAGACATAAAACTAAGTTAGCAGGACATGACGTGTGTCAGCCTTCCAAGAGTCCCATAATCCAGATCCCATAATCCATATAAATCTACACGATTTAGCAGTAGAGGGAAAACTAGGTAAATCTAGAATGACATTTGCTCCACAACTAGAGTTCTAGTGTGCAAAATGAGGGCTAAATCTTGTTCTTAAGTAAACGTAAATGGTTAATGATAACTCCTGATTTAAAAAAACAAACCCTCACACCCAGCAGCTCTGTCCCACTGCAATGTTACTCTCTTAAATGTAGTTCTTGCATTAGGGGAGTGTGCTGTTCTGGTCAGATGAAAAGATCTTCTGTAGGAATACACAGAACTGGAAAGAGAGTTCAGTCCTACAGGAAATCCTCTCTTCAGACTTGCTGCATACAATTATTTTTATGCCTACATTAGAGGCATTCACTTGAGTCCACCAACAAAGATTCTACCAACATCGCAGTTCCACAAACGTTCAGATGCAGGTTTCTAAACTATGAAATAAAATTTGAAGTAATGCTTTATTACACATTCTTGTTTCAAATCATGAGTGAAGAAAACAGTCCCTGAAGCTGACAATTCAAAAGGTGACATTTGGAAATGCAAAATCCTCCTGTCATGACACAAACTGTAGAGAACAAGCTCTAGGCAAGTTATACAACCATCACATGACAAAAAAGAGCAAACTGAAAACATCTGATGTTACACACCTTACACTTCGCAGCATCTAAAGCAAACACTTGGCTTCAGCAGGGTGATTCACTGGCTGCCTCCAGAGGACGGCTCTGTGCTTCTGCACATTTATCAGGGAGCTACCTCATACCAGATGACACAAGTCATTTAGCACAGACAGCGTGTCCTCAAGCAGATATGTAGTTCAGGCCTGCTTTAGTCACTCTTCTGTCCAATTTCAGTAAAGTACATGAAGTTTTCTGAGAGTAGATTCCTACTATCAAGAAAAGGAGGTCTTCATGTTCAGTTAGAAAGTAGGCTAAATTCTGCACTATGCTGAAGCAGATTAACCCCACAACTTGTTCCTGTCTAGGGAAGTCCTGTGAACAGCATACTACAGAATAACCTGGGTCACCTCTGCTGAAGATGGGCCACCAGAAACTGTAATGAAACATACTAAGCTTCTGTCCATGCTAATGGTGCTTAACTCCTTTAATCCATGAGCTTCTAAATGGAAAATACAGAGCCAGCCTTTAAAATGGGAATCAGAACCCAGGACTTCAGCTAAATCTTACAGGAATCTCTATTACATCAATAGAAAAAGGTATATTTCTTTCCCATGTAGTTTCCCCTCTAGAATCTTACATTTTTTTTGAGGTGAAGATGCCCTACCTCCAAAAGGCAACATGGAGAAAAGCCTAAACTCAGAATGCCCCAGAACCTGGTGGTGAGGGGACTCTGCTGGAATCGGGGAGCTACAAGTTTCCACTCTTCGTAGAGCTAAAAACCTCTGATCTCCTCCATTCTGGGTGACTGCTTTAACCAATTTCCTGACACTGTTTGCACCTTGGGATAAATCTTCATTATGAGGCTGGTGAGGCACTGGAACAAGTTGCCCAGAGAAGTTGTGGATGCCCCATTCCTGGTAGTCTTCAAGGCCAGGCTGGACGGGGCTTTGAGCAACCTGGTCTAGTGGAAGGTTTCTTGTAGCAGGGGGGCTGGAACTAGATGATCTTTAAAGTCCCTTCCAACCCAAACCACTCTATGATTCTATGATAAAGTTAATATAGGCCAAGTAAACAAGTAGCCTTTCTGAAGACAAAGGCAACATTTATATACTGTCTCTATATTGCCTCTGCTTTGGCATGTCTTTGATGGGGGCAGCTTCTGATTGTCCCCCTGCAGCCTGATGTTTTATTCAATTACAGGCATTAGGGAATTCTATGGCCAAACCAGGAGAAGCAGTAAATTCAATGTACTTGCTAGGATTAGGCCATTTTTTGATGAGTGACCTGGGCTGTACCTGAAACTTCTGCAGCTAAAAGCTTCTGAAATTACAACTGCAGTAGAATCTAAACACTCTGAACATGACCCCTTACGATTACAGTTACTTGCACAGACATACTTTTTCTCTTCACTGATAACAAGATAAGCCTATGAATGCAGCTAAAAGAGGGGGTGCTCTGAAGACAGTGGGGAAAAAGTTTGACTGAAAATCCACTGATCTTGAAAATTCTTAACAACATTGCAGCTGACACAACAAAACCATTTAGATTCACACTTCTGATTCTGCTAATGACTTAAGGTCAACACATAAGACTTTTCATGCTCAAAAAAATTTACAGGAATTTGGTCCCAAATCAATTAACCCAAAATTACACATAAAAAAGAACGGATGTTCTCTGTCAGACTCAGCAGCAACACAGAAAAGCACCATGTTGCTACCTGCAGCCTCTTCTGTTGTGAAATGTTTCTACTATTATACAGATCACTAAACACCTGCAATTCCCACTGAAACCTCACATTTTTGTTGAAAGTGATTCATAAGTATTTTTCAGGGTCTGTGTTAGCAAAAACAAAACAAAACAAAAACAAAAAAACACCCCAAAAGAAACCACCTCATCTAATAAAGGCTTTTAAAAATTTTATTTAAAACTTTTAAATTTGTTTTAGGATTCAAAATTTAAAATTTGGTCTTTTTGGTGTTTATGTGACAAAGGCTCCTTGATTCTCCACGATGAACTCTTTACAGATCCTTCAACAAGGAATTATTTTTTCAAGATCTCAAGCAAGTTACTACACAGGGAAAGTATGTAAGCTCAAACATTAAGAGCATCTATGACAAAGGTTGTTTTTGATAAAAAGCTTTCAATGATGTTAATAAATATGTATTACCAGAAAGAAAGGTATATGGTAAAGCAGACAGCAGGGTTCAGACACAAAGATAAGCCTATGCCATTGCAGTGCTCTCTTCAAATTCAATTTGCTTTGTAACCAAATACATTTTAGAAAGTAACATACCCACTGCTTTGGCAGTCAAAATGAACTCAGAGCCAAAAAGAAATATGTAAGGAATCTACTTACCTGTGCCAAACAAGAGGCCAGGGATGAAACAACTAAGTTGGCTCAGTCATATGAAAGTTGTCATTCCAAACCAGAAGGCGAAAGACACATGCATACAGTGGAGCTCCTTACCATACATTATGTATGGATCAATCTATCCCTCTACTAAGGAGCTGAGACAAGAAAATCACACAAAAGCTGGAAAGTAAGAGTGTCCTTTGTGCAGAAACCTTTTTATTGCTTCACTACTGCCTAGATGCAGATCTAAATTTTCTCTTGCTAGATCATCAGGGCGAAGGATTGAAAAGACCTCATGAATCAAGGCTACTCATCTGCAATTGTAGCTCCATTCCTCTCTCCCTTTATCATACATCAAGATCCATCATAAATGGATTCTACATAAAAGCATCAAGACTGATCTTGAAACAGTTTTTACACATACATCTCTCACTGGAGTACAGTTCCATAGCACCACTCTCCTATGTAGCCAGGAGGTTTGCTGTAATTAGATAAAAGTTAGTCACAGCCATTTGACATCCAGCTGGGCTTTAAACCAGCTCTGGCATTAACTATTTATTTTTTAATCCCTAGTGCTTACTTACCTGTTCTGATCAAAACTTATTTTTAGCCAAACCAACTAAGCTGTTCTACTTTCCTTTTATAAAACAGGCTCCTCATTCTCGTAAGTATTTTAATAGCTCTTTTCTACACCTGGAATCATCTTTCATCTTTTGTAAACATGAATTATCAAGTTACAGTTGAAGTCTCTGCAGAATCCTGCTAAACATTCCAAGCCATACTAGCAACAACTGCCCTGATGCATTTTATGGTCACAGTAACCTTCACAGATACATTATACTGGAGATCATACTCATCCTGTAAGTCAAACAGCTTGCCTGCTTCCTCCTCCTCCTCAAGTTTCAAGTGAGGAGATCCCCATCTATAATTTATTAGTCTGATGCATGGCCTTGCATTGTATGTAACTGCAATACATCCAGTTCAGAGATACCATTAAACAACACGCCTTTAGACAATTATGTTCTTTTTGATTTTTTACTACTTCTGGAATACAGATTTCCTATGCCATTAGAGTTGTTTGGATGATCAGCTTTGCTGAAATGCCAAGTATTTCTAAAGTATCTTGATAGCTCAAAGATATCCAAGTGCATTGGTTACCGAGTGATTAAGGGATATAGTTACACTCTAGGCTAGCTGTGCATCATGCTTTACCATTCAATTCCTATTTCATTTTAGAACAAAACAAAACAAAAAACAAAACCCCAAAAGAGTAAGTTATATTGACTCTGCCAAAGCTTTTTAAAAATAGAGATCAAAACCTACTCTACTATGCTTTGAATTTTGCAGCTCAGAGACTGGCAATGTGCAGGTATCTGGCATCAAGACTCCATAGCATACCTGCAATTCTTTAGACCTTTATTCTCTAGTCCTCCTATTTATTTTACTTTATTATGTCCCCAAAGCTATATCTTATATAGACTTAACCTTACCTGACATTCAGCCTCTTTTTCTATGTGTCACATTCCCAAGCACTTCAGACCTCTGTCCAGCCCTCTGAAGCTGTGCAGAAATGTTTACCTGCGAATGTACTACTTGTCCAGACCCAGCAGCACAAGATGATCCAGCAACATACATTTATGTACTTCTGAAAAAAAACCCCACACTTACAAAACCCAACACCCTTCTATTTAACTACTGTCAAGAATATGAGACTAGATTCCCATCAGAAATAACAGATCTGATTTTCAGAGGAGAGGACAAGGCTCAGTAACTGAAAAACAAAACAACAACATAATGAAATCCTACAAATATAATCTGCAGTTGGAAGGCTATTATGGGCAAATCAGTGCTCTGGATGGTATTTTAAAGACCTGCAAGAGGATGAACTGAGTTAAAAACCTACAGATAGAGCTCTGTGGGCATATAAATTAAGATTCCTGGTCTAGTATGTGTCATGCCTTTGCTGGAAAGGAA